CCTGTCTTCCCGTGTGTTTCCCTCCCCCGTTCTCTGAGCGTTCCGCACCTAGCCCAGTGTCCGCTTCCCCGCCTGCCTCTGCCGCTTTCCCTGAGCCCCCGCTCTCACAGACGCGGGCGGTGTCGGGGAGCACACCAGGCGGAACCTAGAGCCCCCCATGCCCTCCCGGGCCCCGCCATGTGTCCCCGAGACGCAGCCGTGGTGAAGAAGGTCGCGCGGTGACAGGGCCCAGGCAGCTGGTGAGGAATGGTGGTCTGCGTTACGCTGTCACCCGTGTGATTGCGGAAGGCAGGTGACAGTATTCTTAGCCTCCAGCCAGGGAGCCTTAGGCAGGTAGAGGCCTACCCAGGAAAAAGGCATGGCTGGGAGTAGCTTAATTCTCTAGCAGGCACAGTGTTCATTTTTAAGCCTCTGGGAAAGGGGAATTTTGAGAAAAGGAGTGTGTTTGAAAGCGCTTTTTTCTGGTGCGAGAGGGAGAGATGACCTCAAAAATAAATGGTGCTGGAGAAAAGCTCCAGAGGATGGAGATTGTAGTTAGGCAGGGTGTCAGACTGAGGAGCTCTGGAGGGGAGCTTTAAAAAACTGGGTGCAGTGATCTATCTCTTGCAGGCCAGTCTGTGTCCAGGATCACTGGTGGTGAAGTTAGGCAGAGATGCTGGACTTTACCCTTTGTGGAGATGTAAAATTTAAAAGGAATGCAAAATACCTTTGAAAGTGGTAATTCCTCATTTTTCCCCCTTGGCAGCTCGGATTCTGAAGGTAATTTTGAGACCCCTGAAGCTGAAACTCCAATCAGATCACCTCTCAAGGAATCCTGTGATTCATCATTAGGATTGGTGAGACCTGGGGCTGAAACCCAAGGTAAAGAAAAACTTTGATTTTTTTTTTTACTTCTTTTGTTTTAAAGTTTTTTTTTTTTTAAATGCCTGAAATAAGGTGGAAAATACTAATTTAGGACCACTTAAATAGGTTTGGATTGTTTCTTTGCTTTGAAAAAGCATTGTCAAAATTTCTGACTCATTTGGAAGGGTCTTTGTTTTTGCTTCTTGTTTTTATAAAAAACATTTCTACCAAAAAAAAAAAAAATTCCGAACATTTGGTGTTCAAAGGCTTGCTTTCTTCCCTGAATGCAGTTTATGTTTACAATATGAGATTATTATTCTCAAACCTTTCTGCTGGACCCTTTACAGTCCCTAAAAAAATGAAAGCACATAGTGATGAAGTTATGTTTAGATTTGGCTTCACAGATTCCTCAGGCTAAGTAAGTTGCTTTCTACCATTGTCTGACTGAGACAACAAGGCTCTGTTTTTTAAGGCTTTTTTTGTTTTGTTTTGTTTTTGATAGGGAGAAATCTTAAATGGCCAATTCAGAGTTGCTTACCTTTCCCTCTTCTACCCAGGAAAGCCAGGCACACATATTTTCTCCTATCAGTACACTCAGTGCCCAACCTTGAGCCCACCCTTCATCTGTAGCATTTTCTATTATTCCTCTTAATTTAGAAACCTCTTTTTGGTCACACAAGACAGTTTAAAGTAAAATCTTAATATATCTCATTTGTTCATTCAGTAAATAAAGTACACTGTGATTTAGCTGTCAAGTCCTGCTCTCATTGAGCTAAGTTTTAGCGGAAGATCAGCCTTGTAGAGATTAAATTACATCTGTTAGTACTGTGGAGAATTACAAGAACAGGAGAAAGAGGACTAGGGAATCTGGAGTGAAGACTGATCAGATGACTTGAGCAGAGACCTTGAAGAGGAGGATTAAGGGAGCAAGATTTTGTAGATTCCTGGGAAACAAACCCTTCCAGCAGAGAAGATGGCATTCACAAAGCCTGGAGACAGGATAGTCTTTGGTGGGCAAAGCACTGGGGTGGAAGGTCCAGGATATGCTTGAGGCCCCAGGGAGTCCAGTGTGTCTGGAGTGGGGGCGTGGGAGGCTTGAGCTCAGGATCTTGTGCTTGTGAGGCAGGTGGAGTGCCACTGAGCTAGATCCCTGGTGGAGAGGAGGGATTTGACAGGCAGCAGGAGGGGCTTGAGGTCACTTAGGTGGTAGGTCCAGCCTGTATTTGATGATTTGGTTTTCTGAGTGAGATCAAAAGCCTTTGAAGGGTGTGTCAACTTTATACAGCTGTCCCAACAAAATGCTATAAACAGAGTGGCTCGAAACAGCAGAAACTAATTTGTTCACAGTTGAGAACATAGCATGGTGAAGTGTCGCCCTCACCCCTTCGGATCCCTGGGAATAATCCTTTCTTGCCGATTTTAGCTCCTGGAGGCTAATAACCATCCATAGTGTTTTTTGGCTTGTGGTAGCCTAATTGTACTCTGCCTTATCATACAGTGGTCTTTCTCTGTGTATCTGGTCTTCCTTTAAGGACCCTAGCTGTTGAAATTAGGGCCCATCTTAAACCAGTATGACCTCATATTAACTAGGTTACGTCTCCAAAGTTACTATTTCCAAATAAGGACACAGTCACAGGTACTAGGCATTAGGGCTTCAACACAGCTTTTTAAAAGAGTTTTCTTTCTGTCAGTGCTAGGGATTGAACCAGGGCCTTGTGCAGGTCTACCACTGAGCTAATCCCCTACCCTTAACATGTCTTTTTGAGGAGATTTTTTTTTGTTTGTTTTTATACTGAGGATTGGACTCAGGCCCTTGTGTTTGGGAGATAGGTGCCAGAACCACTGAGCTAAACCCCTGGCATAACATGTCTTTCTGGGAGACACGGTTCAGTTCTGGACAGAGGGCTTTAAGCACAGAGGGATTATGCTTTGATTTCCTTTCTGAAAGGCTCTCTGGCTGTCGAGTGGAGAATGGACTGTAGGATGCATGTCCTTGTTATGTAGTTTCTCTGTTCTCCTCTCTCACACTTGCTGTACAGTGGCAGGAAGAACCAGTTTTCGCCTAGTTACCTAATTTCAGGGATTTTGTTTGTTTGTTTATTTGTTTGTTTGAGACAGGATCTTGCTATGTAGTTCAGGCTGGCCTCAAACTGGAGGGGATCCCCCTGCCTTAGCCTCTTGTGTGCTAGGAGTATAGGTATGCAGCAGCGTGCTCAGATCCCTCATTTTTGAACTGATGACTTCCGACACTCCATCGTTAATGTGTCTTACTGGCTTAGAAACTTCTCTGTAGGTTGCTTGAAGAAGATACTCTGGTCGTAGACTTTTGATGGTGCTGGAATTTTTGGTGAAATGACCTCAGGTCTTTATGACTGGTATTTGAAATTGAGAGCTCTGAGCTGTGCTTATTCTGCTGAGAGTCTAGCAAATGTCTCCTCCCTGACCTGGGCAGCATTTGCCTTGGTCCAGGCAGGGGCTGCTGGGGAGCACACAAGTTATGTACCGGGGGACTTGTGTGTGGCACAGTGCAGTGCAGCATCCTCGGTCACAGAGATGCCCCTTGTTTGGGGTTCCCATTTCCTTTCAAGATCAGCAGATCCAAGGGGAGACTAGAAGCCTGAAAGAGCTGTCTTGTGGCCTTCCTTCCCATCGAGTTTACACGAAACTCACAAGCCACGCGTTAGTAGTAACTGTCTGAAAGCCTCTTTGGATGGCCTGAGCCTCGCCTCGCTTCCTCCGCTTCCTCCGCTTCCTCGGCGGCAGCTCCCGCTCTGAGTCACCCTGCCACACACATTCTTTGCCATTTGAATAGAGGCCTGCATGGCTGGGCCCCCAAAGCCACAGAGACCCAATTGTTCCTCCTTCCTGTTCCAGTGACTCTCACATTCTCTCCTTCATTCTGTCTACTGGGGAAATTTTGAAATGTTTTTGTTTTAGGGGAGTTTTGCATCAGCAAAGCTCTGTGGGGTAGTTATGGGCTGCAGACTGTAATTGTAGGGCGTAAAGAGTGGTAGTGTACAGTCTAGGAAACAACCCACTTATTATGAAATCGCTCGTTTCAAGGTCTTTTAACAGTTCAGTGATTGCGCAGCAGCCTGGTTGTGTCCTGCCTTTTAGGGGTCCTGCTACATAACGTGTGGCACTAGTCCAGTCTTGTGGAGCACCTTGTCACACACGCAGCGTATGCAAAATGCCACAAAAGCATAGGTCAGACAGGAAGATTTCATTGGGCAAAAATTCCTTCAGAGGCATTTTATGTTGAAATTTAATTTCTGGGACTGCATTGTTCCCTTTTTCCCCAAATCCTGGGTGGTTTTGTTCCTGATAAAGTTAGCCTTACACATTTCTGTAGTTCTAGGATATGGTTAGACAGCAGGTGTAGGTAATACAAGGCTGTGTTTTGGACAAATGGTTTATGAATTGTTAGCAAGGAGTTGTTATTAACATTTGTAATGATCCTGGCTTCCTAGCATGCTGTGTCCTGTTTATCATACCCATGGTTCCTGTGTCAGCCTTATAATTCTTTGAACTCAGGATAACATACTACTTTTTTTTTTTCGGTACTGGGGATTGAACTCGGAACCTTGCATTTTCAAGGCAGGCAGCAGCACCACTGAGCTAAATCCCTGACTTTACCACTTTTTACTGGAACTATTTTAGGAATGTAACAGTATCTAAACTCTGTAATGATGCTTCCTAAGACAGTTATACTCCCAAGAATTAAACAGTGGATAAGGTTGTGTTTTTTAAAGCCATAATTAGAAGCTGGTTTTTGATTACCTAGTAGAATAAAACTCTTAATTTCAAAGAGATTCCTTGAAAATACCAGACTGACTGGTGACTATGAAGTCTGGGCTGGTGGTTCTGTGTTTGCTACTAGTCTGGCTTCCCTTGCAAAGTATGTTTAAGCCGCTGCTGTATTGTTCTATCTTGGCTGGGAAAGAAACATTCTCTGAGAAAGGACTTTTGATGAGCTACAGTCTTGTCCCCGCCCTACTTTTTTGATGCTTAAGGAGGACTTAAGGACATGTGGTTTTGTCCAGCTGTTGTAGCCTACAAAGACTGCAGTGGATATCTTCTGCCAGTTAAGCTCTTCCTCTGAAGCACCCCTCACACCCTGACATTACCATGCTCACACACACCTTTATTTGCGGACTATTACCTGTCTGAGAAGGACAATCTTAGCAGAAGGTCTCACATCACCCTTGTTAGCATGTACTGTTTGATGTGTTAATTAGATGCCTAGGTATTTTAAAGACAAGTTAGTCCTCTGGAATGAAAAGAGAGATAAATAGGATCAGTCCATAGTATATACTGCTTGAGGCTTTGTGGGGAATGCAGAATTGTTTGTTGATGTAATTTTGTTGTATAGATCAGAGTGTGCAAACTCAAAGCCCGAATCTGGCCTGCAACTTGTTTTTCTGTATGGTCCTCTAAGCCAAGAATGAATTTTGTATTTTTACATGGTTGAGAAAAATTGTGATGTGAAAATTATATGAAATTCAAGTTTCAAAGCCAATAAAATTGTTTTGGAATATAGCCACCTTCCTTGTTTAGATAATGTCTATGGTAGCAGGGTTGAGGATTTAGAAGAGAGACCAAACATGTAGCCAAAGTGTGCTGGGCCTTGTGGCTCCTGCCTGTAATCCCAGCACTCTGGAGGCCAAGTTGGAGACTACCTAATGAGACTGTGCCAAAAATACCCCAAAACTAACAAAACAACACACACATTCACACAAACAGTCGTAAGCCTACATACCTCATCAACAAATAAAAAGAAACCACAGGCACCAAGTGCCATTTAGTATAGTCCTGTATGGTCAGGGAGGGTTAAGGGAGAGTGGTTTGGGCTGTTGTTTGTCTCCTTTGCAAAGTGAAAATGATGGATGCAGTTAATTTGCCATTGTAATTGATCTTTAACTGACTAAAAGATCCAAGGTGTAAAAGCAGATTATTTAAAAGGGGAATTCAGGGAGAATGCAGTAAATTTTGGAATCATTTAATACAGGACTAGTTTT